GGAAACATTGATTTTTTAAACAAAACTTGTGATCTATTGCAGTTACATAAAAAGATCATCCTATGGTTTCGAAGTACATTGCAAATGCATTAGTCCTTTGTTTTCATGATTTCTGAGTGATTACATAACAAGTTCTTTGTAACTGACAATTGCAGACAAGAACAACACATCCTAAGTCAATTAAACTTATTGAATAAATCACAACTTGTTGCTAATATATTATGTCCTAAATCCATAATTACAAGTTAAAGTAGCTGAATTCACACAGTAGACTAAAATATACTGTTGGCTTTGGTTTATCATTTTGTATGAATGCAGACCAGAAAACCACTCTCAAAATGTTGATTGCAACTGCTATGTTGCAAGCAATTAAGTGTAAACCATTATGAAGTCCACCAATGTCCTTTCACTCGGTAATTTCTAATTTGTATGCTAACTGCTTATTTTGTGATTTGCCATTTGAAGTATGGTACTAGTAATTTCTGGGTACTGCCATAATCTACATTTGGCTTCTGAGAGTTGAAAGATTTTAAAATTGGCACTTTTGACACCTTCCACATTTGAAAGTATTTTGATTAGAATTGTATAAAACTGCCCTGCTATGCAATCTGTTCCTATTCACATTTTTGCTAACTGGATACTTTAAAAGGCAGTCCTAATTATCCTTTTCTCCCTTCGAGTGTGGTTTTTAAAAATCTTATTTTCCTACCTTTAGAAAGTACTCAGAATAAAATAAATAAAAAATATGTGAACTACCAATAGTTCCTTTTTAAAAGGAACTGGTAGTGTTGTGAAACAATGTAAAATGAGATCGCGGTCATTCATGCATTCAAATATATTCAAGGATATTTTTTTTGTCTTTGGAACACTTTAAATCAGAGCTTAAGAAACAGTTACATTGAAGTATAAGTTTATTATTTATTGACAAGTATAACACTTGTCAAAAAAAGAGGGGTGGATTATAAGCCCTCTTCATATTTGATTACAGTTACAATTAATTAATCATTGTGCTAGTTCTTCATCCAAAGATTAGATCACAGGATGTCACCAACCAAGTTAGAGATCCTGGTATTTGCTAATCAATAATAATCTCAAACAGAGAGAGAGAGACTATGCTTGCAATTGGAAGCCATTCAAATTGCTGTAAAAACAAAGGGAAGGACTTTTGTCTAGGAGAGACCTGTATCAGCCACTGCCACTACCAAGTGGTTTTTAATAATCTGGTTCCATTGTTCCAGATACGCTGAATAAAATAAGACATGTGAAATTGAAGTTTAATCCCCATTGCTGTGCAGATAATTTACTGCACTACTATAGTGAAAAGAGATACTCATTTCTCCTATAACCTGGAATAAAATCTGTCAACATTCTTTCATTACAGTAATAGCATTGTTTCAATGTCAGGTAAGCCTCCATCCATCCTGAAAAGGTACAAAAAATGTCTAGCAAGTAACAAAGCCATTTGACTCAGGGAGCTCAGCACAATCCATTTGCAAGGTTTTGAATTCTGTAGACCAGGTGTATCCAATCCATGATCCACAGGCAGCTTCACAAGATCGTAAGCTTTTAATATTATTATGTGATTTATATACATTAACAATATTATATGTGGCTCAAGATAATTCTTCTTCACTCAGTGTGGCCCAGGCAAACCAAAAGAATGGACCCATCTGCTGTAGACCTTGTTACTATGATTTGGCTGTGGGCTTTGTTGAATCCCCCAGATCCACATTGTGTAATTGACAAATATAATAGGGAAAACATGATTTGAGCTTCCTGATGAACAAAAGCTGCATACCAGACAGATATTACAAATTGTAAAAAAACAACAACCAAACCCACCTTAGTAAGAGGCAATTTGGTCTAGTGATTAAGGTACCTTGCTAGAAACCAGGAAATTGTGAATTCTAGTTCTGCTTTAGGCAGAAAAGCTGGCTGTGTGAATTTGGGCTACTCACTCTCTCTCAGCTGAATCAATCTCAAAGGGTTGTTGTTGTGGGGAAAATACAGTAAAAGGAGGAGTATTAGTTGTGTTCGCTACCTTGAGTTATTTATAAAATAATAAAATTATTATCACTAATATTTAGAAAAATAATAAAAATGATATAAAAATAAATAAAATTGCATTAATAAACTGATGAAAGTATGTTTTATTAGTTATCTTGGGGCAACTGGTTACCCAACTTGGTGCTTCCAGTACCGGGGCTCCTGTTGCACCTCACTTATCTCCGTAAGTAATACTTGGTTGGAACCCTTCCTGTTATAGTTTTAAATCACCAAAAGAAGGCAAGATTTGATCTAGGTCTTTGGTTTGCTGAATTGCATCCAAAATTATGGTAATGGTGGGCTTCTTAATGTAGCTACACAAGCTGCCATGCCAGCACATCTCTTTCCACCAGCAACAAGAGCTGGTATTGATGATATACCAGTAGCAACCTTGGAAGGTGATAATAAAATGACAAAACATGAATAAAAGAAGGTGGACGTTTCAGCCAAAATTAGCAACTTTTTCTAAATTACAGCAAATGAACAGCAAAGCCCATGAGCATATTCTGAGTCACCAAAAATAGTAACATGTGCCCAGTGGGTAATTTACAGAACTTAGTGAGCCTAACTTGAATGGAGTGTACTTCTGCAACACAAAAGATTTCAACAGAATGAAAAGAATGAAGAGAATACCTGGCACACAGTTTTCCAATTTTATTTCAGAGATGAGCCATCAGAAAAAAAAGAATGGGCTCTGTAAGAGTGAAATGAGTAGCATCAACAGGGATAGAAGCTGAAGCATTAGACTTTGGAACCAGAGAATGTTTTTAAGTGTTCATTCTTTTTTTCTTTTTCTTTCTTTCTCCTTTCTTTTTTCTTTTCTTTCTTTTTTCTTTTCTATTTTCTCATTTTTCTATTCGTGTATGTGTTGTTGATTTGTTTTTAATTGTAAAATTAATAAAATTTGTTTTAAAAAAAAAGAAAATAAAAATGGCAGTGGTTGTCATAGTAATTTTAGTTGGTGTGCTTGGCTACATTTAACCAAAAATGAGTTCTAAGATAAGGCACCAGAATGGTACTGAGAGATGGGGTGCCAAAAGGGAAACTTGCTAATGTAAAAATTGCCACTGATGGGACAGGTCAGTGGCATTATTAAAATTCCACTGCCAACACTATTTGTAAAATGGAGCTCACATTTATAAGATTTAAAATATAAAAAATGTCCCAACACTTTTTCCAGCACAGATTTCATCATATCAGACCTTCACTGAACAAAGGGACTTAATTGTGGCAGCACCAGTTTCATTTGTGGCAGCACCAGTTTCACAGCGACAGCACTTCAAGAATGGATTTTTGAAAGCTGTTTTGAAACTTCATCAATATACCATTAATAACATACTTTTACTTTGGTTTGTGAATTGTTTGGCTTAATAGCTTCTAACTTTTGTTTTTCTATTTCTTTTCGAGCTAGTTTCCTTTTGTTATTTTTCCATAGATTTCCAAATTTGTAATAAAAGTGGTTTAAAAAAAAAAAGCCATTGTGCCTACTATATTGCATATGATTTCCCCATTCTATGAGGATTCAGAGGTGGAATTGTATACAGTAATTCAAACAGCCTAGAGATGGAAGGGACCTTGGAGGTCTTCTACTCCAGCTCCCTGCTCAAGCAGGAAACCCTTTCAGAAAAGTGGCTGTCCAGTCTCTTCTTCAAAACCTCCAGTGATGAAGCACTCTCAACTTCTGAACTGTTGGTTACTTGTCCTCACTGATAGGAAGTTTCGCCATAATTCCAGGTTGTTTTTCTCCTTGATTAGTTTCCATCCATTGTTTCTTGTCTTGCCTTCTGCTGCTTTGGAAAAATAAATTGACCCCCTCTTCTTCGTGACAGCTCTTAAATACTGGAATACTCCCGACTAATCCTTCTTTCCTGTAGACTACAGTAGCCATAACCAGTTCCTGCAACTGTTCTTCACATGTTTTAGTCTTTAATCATCTTAGTTGCTCTTCTTTGCACTTTTCCCAAAGTCTCAGTATCTTTTTTATGATGTGATCAAAACTGGATGCAAATGTCTATGCTGGAAGTCTCCAAACTTGGCAACTTTTGAGACTTGTGGACTTCAGCTCCCAGAATTCTCCAGCCAGAGTTGAAGTCCACAAGTCTTAAAGTTGCCAAGTTTGGGGATCCCTGGTGGATGGAGATTCTCAATCATCCAGTCATGGTTGCCCCAAAGGTGCTTTTTAAAGAGGCTACTGGTCCAGTTGCCTCTTGAAAAAGCACCTTTGGGACAAAACTGGATGCAGTATTCCAGGTGTGGTCTTCCTAAGGATTTATAATGCGGTGCTAATACTTCACATGATTTGTATTCTATGCCTGTAAATTATATTCGGTTTGTTGGCTGCTGCCACACACTGCTGGCTCCTGTTTAAGTGATCGACCACTAGGGCTCCAAGGTCCCTCTCACAGTTCTCTCTCAACTCTACTGTATAATCCGAATTTCCCACAAAAACAGCGCCATTCCTTCGCTCTGGTTTCCCGCCCTTCAACACTGCCACACCCAAAGAGTTTCAGTTGCGGCCTGTCATTCGGGAAACTGTTGCTAGTGCAGGCCCTTGATGATTGCTAAAGGGAAATCATTCTGCACTCTTGCGGACAAAAGCAACCCTCGTCCTTTCCGCTTCGCCTGCTAAAGAAATACTGCCGTTTCCGTCCGAAGAAAAGAGAGGGGCGGGTGTTTGTCACAGTTCTCAATTCTGTCTCTTCGATTGGTTGAAAGTTGTGAGCTTCCAACCAATCGGGAAGGGAGAATGGGTGTGGTTAATGACGAACGGCTGGATCCCCCCGGTTGAGTGGACAGACGCTATATCAATTTCGCCGTTAATTCGTGTGGAGAGGCGTTACTTCACAAGAGCCTCGACTCGGATCGTTGATTGGTTCCGTCACTTCAGTCAAGGCGACCGTTGGCAAGGCGGATTCCAAGGCCGGCCACCCCTCCCCCCCCCCCACGTCAAGCGGCTTGTAATTGGGCGCTGGCGGGAGAGCGTAGCGCCCGTGGCTCTCGCTCTCCGATAGGCTGCGGGCGCCACCGCGAAGGGAAGGTTTATTTTACGATGGGGGGCGGGTGAGAGGCCGGCGGGCAGGTTATGGCGGGAGAGACGAAAACAGCCTCTGAATGGCCTCATGGCTGTCGCCTCCTCTTTCGGGTTGTGCTCCTTTCGATCCTGGCTTGCAGCTCCGGTAAGTGGACAGGAGTGCGAGATAGTTCAGGGCATCCCCAGCCTTTTCTGCCCCTTTTCCTCTTGAGCCCCTTCCGATAACGGAGGCTTCAGAGTACCTCAGGACGATTGGGCTTAGATTGATTTCTCAACCGGAAATCCCCGTCCCGAGATATTCCTTATCATTTTGGGAGAACGAATGGTACTCTGGGTGCTTTCTCCAGGCCAGGCTTTCCCGTCCTGTTCCTCTCCAAAATGGGACTACGCTTCCCAGAATTCCCAGCCAGGCTTTGGGCACTTGTCTTCAGAGCAACGTGTTGTATCAGCTTGGGCTGTCCTGAGTATCAATTTCCCTCAATTTAAAAGTCTGTAAGTGATGTGGGGGGGGGGGGGCAGTTTGCTTGGATTAAGATTAGAGGTGGGCATCTGTGGGCATCAGGCTTCTTGGGGAAGGTAGATTTTCAAGAAATAAAGATAAGATAACCTTTATTGTCTTTTTTTTTTTTACTGTGAGCACACTGGCCCACATTAAAAATGAAATTCTGTTGCCCGCTCTCAAAAGAAATTATATATCTATCCATACACACACATAATACACATATATACATGCTTTATACCTACCTGCCTATCTACCTATCTATCTACCCATACATACATTTGTTGTTAGTCGTGAAGTCGTGTCCAACCCATCGCGACCCCATGGACAATGTTCCTCCAGGCCTTCCTGTTCTCTACCCTTCTCCGGAGTCCGACTGCTTCAGTGACTCCATCCAGCCACCTCATTCTCTGTTGTCCCCTTTTTCTTTGGTCCTCAATCTTCCTCAGCATTAGGCTCTTTTCCAGTGAGTCCTTCTCATTAGGTGACCCAAAATATTTGAGTTTCATCTTCAGGATCTGGCCTTCTATAGAGCAGTCAGGGTTGATCTCCTCTAGGACTGACTGGTTTGATCGCTTTGCAGTCTAAGGGACTTGCAGGAGTCTTCTCCAGCGCCATAGTTCAAAGGCCTCAATTCTTTGGCACTCAGCGTTCCTTACACACACACGCACGCACACACACACACACACACACACACGCTATCTATCTATACATACATACATACGTACGTACATATGAATAATTGTCCAAAGAATGAAAGTCAGGTGGTATAATGACACTTGGATGACCATGGTAGTGTGAGAAGACAATATGGGTTGTTATTTAGAGTACTCACAGAAATAACATCAAATGGATTATTAGGCAGAATTGATACTCTGTAGCATATTCTGTTTTCCAGTGAGTTGTGGCATCTGTTGTTACTGTTACCCACATCTTCCAAAGTTAAGGACAAATGTTTACATCTGGTTATTAGCTTGTTCTTATAATTTGTTTATTTATAAAATTTATAATGGCTATTTTATGGTTGTTGATGTCAGTGCCAGGAGTAAATGGGTAAAATGTCCATTAATCTTTTAAAAATCTAAATAAGTTCAGATTGAGACTTAAGTCCAATTTCTTTTAGTGCGCTCTATGATTTGACACAAGCAAGATAGATTGTGATCACATAGCCTTTTGCGTGACTGCTTGCCATTACTATTATCCAAAATTCTGTCTTAGTATATATGTAGGGCAGGGGTGGGAAAACTTTTTGGCTCGGGGGCCTCATTGACTTTAAAAATTTGACAGACGGGCCGCCACCTGGTTTCGAAATGCCTGTCATTACAAGTCAATATCAAATGAATGCAATCATTCAATCATTCACATCAAACCTTAATTCTGTACCAATCTTTGGCGGGCCGGATTAAAAAGACCAACGGGCCGGATGTGGCCCACGGGCCGTAGTTTGCCCACCCCTGATGTAGGGGGTGGAATATGAAAGGAGTGTTATGTATAGTATGGTGCCTCAAGCTTGTGAAATAAATTTCAGTAGGTTTTAAATGTAACAAATAGATTAAAGCATATTGGAATTTTACTAGATATGACTATTCTGATCCTCATTTTGTATAAATCAGCCGCATTGTCTTAATTCCAAAGGCATCTCTTCATTTTGCCAATATATCTAATGTTTTTTTTCTTTGTGTGGATTCCTGTAGATGGACGTGTAGTGTTACTTAAAGAACATGAAACACATGTACTTTATTCCTCGGAACAGTTTTGCTATTCAAATAAAGTGACCCCCAAATGGCATGATATATGGACCAAAATTCAGGTAAGAATTTGATTAATTTTTTTTTTTTTTTTTTTGCAGCTGAGATGAATCTTGCAATAGCATATTGTAGTTGCTCATCAATACAAGCTATATTTTAACCTATCTCTGTGTTAGAGGTTGGGAATAGAATTAGGTCACATGATTCTAGTAGACAAAGGGTCAGAGTTCCACACTAACTTTTTTGTATGTTTCTTGTATTTCTCAATTAGTTTCACAATGAGATTTAATATCAGTCTCCTTTGTCATCACTGGATTAAATAGTTTTTTCTCCATAAATAAACTGCAAGATGCTAAGCTTTTCCAGATTTCATTTGACAATTTTTCAAAACCCTATTCTTTGGCATTTTCCCCTGAAACTAGTTGTTTATTTTGTAAGGACATTGCAGCATAACTTGTTGTTAAATGTAATACTGGCTGTTCAACCAACTGTTAAATAGTAACATTAACAAATCTCTGCATTAATTATGGAACTGTCCTCTTTTTGCTGTCTTCCATCCAGATCCGGGTAAACAGCACCAAGGTGATCCGCGTCATCCAAGTTGAAAGTGAGGAGAAGCTGAAAGAACTGGATGGATTTAATTTATGGATGTATGTTGGCTTGCTCTTCAAAGAGAAACTTAATGATAGCTACATTAATGTTGACATTTTCAGTAAAGAAACCTGCTTGAAAGTCGAGACCTTAGACCAACACTCCCAATACAGCATCAGTGTTACTCGAAGTAAGTTTTATTTTATCTCAGTTGCTCTAATACAGATAGTCCACCAGTTATGACTACAATTGGGCCCAGAATCTCAGTCATTGAGTGAAGCAAATGTTAAGTAAATTGCCACGTCACCATGTTGTTCAACAACCACAATCTCGGCTCTCCCAGTTGTGGACATTAAGTGACCATGCAGGTCATTATTCTCGGGAGGCCTGGATCCTTTCCCTACTCCACTTAGGTGAACTATTGAAGGCTCAATTAATGTAGGAGGTTCAAACACTGGAATCTTACTAGTGTTCTCTTCAGATTTGAGGTTCATTCCTCCAGTGTGTCGAGGGGAGGGGAGTCTTTCAGCACACTGGGAGAAACTAACCTCTAGTCTAATGTCCCCTCTGCTTGCAACTTTTCCTGTTGGCTTCCCTGTAGACTTTTTGAGGAAACAGCAGAAAAGATTCCAAATGGCAATCATATTATCACAGGGCACTTGGCAATCGGTTATAAATAGGAACAGGTTGCCAAGCCACCCAAATGTGGTTATGTGACCAAAGGTCTTGCAGTATGGCATGGATGATGCACTACCTGGCATGCTCACACAATGACCTAAATTAAATATAAGGAAAAATGGAGAGACTTCCGGTGATGTCGCGGCATGGCGAGGTAGGAGAACCTTGATCTGCTCTCCTACATCGAGGTTTTTGCTCGTGGACAGCTGTTCGAGGCAAAGTTAGATCCTGGTGGGATCACTCAAGTGAGGAAGAACTCTTGGAGCCGAAGTGGGAATTGCAATCCCGGAGGTAAAGAAGGGAGCACGAAGCACAGGGCAAAAGAAGTCAGCCAGTTAGGCTGGCCCGAAGAAGCGACGGAACAACTTTGGGAAGGAAGCGGAGAGACGAGATCAAATTTGGACTCCGGGAAAGAGGCCGAAAGGAAATCGATGTTGGATTATAACTAATGGATAAATTTGAAAGGTAATTGGTACTTGTGTGAAACGCCGGAGCGGAAGGGGGAAAGTGGAAAGTGGCGGCAAGACTGAGCTGTTTACCCATAGCTCCAGATAAAGCGGAAAATTGCTTTTAAAAAGTAAAGTGGAAAAGAAAGAAGAGTGACTATTGATGAGGAAAGTTTTGTATTTCCAGCCACATGAACATACCGCGGAGAGTATTCTATAGTGGAGAAGAACTGTGAAACTTTGAAATCTTTGAAAGTGATTAGAGGAGTGACAGTGCAATTCGTGGAGGCAGACATTGTGACAGGGAGAGCGGAGTAAAGTGGCAGAGGTACCAGACTGAACTGAGAACTGAGACTTGAGACTAGAAGTTATTACTGGATATAACTGGATTATAATCTCATTTTCTATTTACTTAGGGTATATATTTAATTAATAAGAAAACAAGATTGATTGGTTATTTTGAAATAGGTCTTAATTTTAAGTAAGTAATATTTAACCCCTTTGGAGTATATTTTATGTCTTTTCTTTCACTCTTTACACATATCTGATTGAATATAGATTAATGATCTTAATATATTGATTAATATAAAGATGAGGTAATTAATTGTTCTTTCCCTCTCTTTCTCCTACCCTCCTTATATTAAATACTGTGAACTATTGAAATATACATATAAAATATTAATTAGAAATCTAAATTCTTATTATATATTTAAGGTAATATTAACTGAAATATAGCAAGTAATTTAAAGAAGTAATTGGGGTTACAACATTGTTATATACTTAAACATAGTTGAATGACCTGTTAGATCAGGGGTCGCCAACCTTTTGAACCTCAGGGACCACCAAACTCATACTTTTAAATCCCGAGGCCCACCAATGCTAATTTTTTAAAAAAGATAATGTATTTAATATAAAATTTTATTTTTTATATTAAACATAAATTTAATATTAAAAATAATATATATATCCTTATTTAGTTATAACAAAATCATAAATGCTTAATCATAAAACATTTATTGTAACAAAATTATTAAAGTTAGTGCAATTATTACAAAATATTGAAACAAATGTTACACATTTTTAGTGTGATATTTGTTCCTGCTTGTTTGAAATAAGTTTATGGATTTTTGGCTCCAATGATGTTACTGCAAGACAGAGAGTTGTTATTTCAAGATGAGACCGGTACCGAGTTTTAATTGCTGTGACAGATGATAGTTGTCAAAATCAATTTGTTTGATGCCATTAATATTACAGTCAAAGACAATAAAGTTAAGGTCAAACTTACCTAAAAAGAGCATCAACCTAGCTTGACCCTGGGGTGCTGTGTGTCCAGACCAGGCACTTTCTCTTGGCCTCTGGACAATTGGAGAGGCTTACGATTAAAATTAATGGGAAGAAGAATACAGATTACTACCGAATATGGGATAAATGGTATAAGTGGGTAGACAATAAAAGAGGAAACATGTAAATGAACCTAAGATACAAATTATATTCAGCGGTCTATATTATATTAAATATATAAAAACAAAGGTTTTAAATCTTTTCTCTGTTACTACTATTATTATTATTAGCCATTTATAATATTTTTTTTGTTTACTAGTTAAAAAACATGAATGTATTCATAATAGAAGAGTAGTTATAAACCAACGTGAAAATAGAGTATATTGTGAATTATTTAGCGCTTAGGATGTGATAATGAGTGAAGATGTGACTAGTACTAGCCAATAATGATTTTTAGGATTTACCAAATTCAATAACAAATGTAAAGAATTATGTATTATTCACATATTGTTTCTGTACTTTGAAATTTATGTTTTTAAATTTGTAAATAAAATTGTTTTTAAAACTTTAAAAAAAATATAAGGAAAAATGTTCTAATGCCAAACCCTATACAAGAGCTATTTGTATGTAATGGTTAAGCCACCAGAGTAGAAACAAGGAGATCATGATTTCTAGTCCTGTCCTAGACACAAAAACAGCTGGGTGACATTGAGTCAGTCACACACTCTCAGCCCTAGGAAGCAGACAATGGTAAGCCATTTCTGAAAATTTTATCAAGGAAACTGCAAAGACTATTAAAGGCAATTGCCAGAATCAGTGCTAATTCCATGCCCTGCCCCCACCCCCAAATGGAATAGTCTATCTGTTGTAATTCTTCATCTTTGGAGGTTTGGAAGAGGCTAGATAGCCATTTCTCAAGAATGGTCTCTTTGGTTTTCCTTCACAGAAAAATGAACTAGATTATCCTTTTGGTCTCTCCCAATTCCACAATTCTATGATCCTGTGAAATTAGACTTGATGTGTTTCCTGAATGTGCTGCTTGAGTTCTTGAAATATCTTTACTTTTTTCATACATATTTTATTCACTATTTGTTTTTTGAACGATGTAATTATCTTGGATAGACAAGAGAGTTGAATACATTTAGAATGATCATTGACTTTGTATGTATATATGTTCCAAAGCCTTAAGGCAGTATTTGCTACAATAAGGACAAACTATGTAGTTGGTTTAAGCCTGCAGATGTAAAAGAGAGGAACACCTTCAACAAGGACATGCTCATTTTGTATATATAAAATCTGTCCAATTTGAAACACAATTGTTCACAATTGTATATGATCTGAAGTACAAAAAGTAAAGTGTGTGAATTGGTTTTATTACGCAGTCTGGTTCTTAGAAAAATGTGAATGATGAAAAGAATGATTTTAAAAGAAAATACTGTTTGCCTTTTTAAAAGACTTTAGTTCTTAATAGTTGTCAGTTTTTTCATTTTGACAGTCATTATCAAAAATCTGCATGCAGCAGAAACACATATTGATGGGAAGACATTTTTACCTTTTACATATATTTGCCGTTATATTCTGAGTAACTCAGCCAGCTGATTAATAAAATAATAATTTTATTTCTTTTAGCACTTGATCCCAAGCTCTTCATTGTTACATTTCTGGGCCTGCTACTGTTTTTCTGTAGTGATTTGATGAGTAGGTAAGTAAAAATTGAGTTCATAACATTTGCCAGCTCACAACAGATAACCATCTAATTTAGCAAATGCCTATCTCTCCTTCAGTTTGTGATTATGTTAATCTGTCCCTTTTCACTGGAGAATACTTCGGAAATATCAAATCTTGTTTCCATGGGCTTCCATGTAACAGGATATTTTTGTCTGTTCTTTTTCTGAGTAATGAAGAGAGATATTTGTGAAGTCTCAATTCTTGTGCGTCATTATTTCCAATTTTTGCAAGACTTCCACATATTGTTTGCTCTTTTAAAGTACTACCATGTAATTTGGCAGCTAAGCTAATGTCTGTCCCTTTGGGGGAAGCATTATGACTCTTAGTTTTTGAAGCACTGTTCACTTTTCGTCCTGCTGCTATAATTGATTTTCTATTTGTCTGCTTCTTTACCCATCAGCCCTTGCTGTCATTTCTTTTTTTTTTTTATTGCTTCCAGCCCAAAATCTAGAATTACTAGAATTACTGTTGAATTTGTACCATGTATAGATTTTTATGCACAATGTCTGATATATTCTTTCTCTTTGCAGAAGTACAATCTTCTTCTATTCAACTGGAATAAGCATTGGCATGCTCAGTTCATTGCTCATTGTTGTCTACGTACTATCCAGATTTGTGCCCAAGGTGGGTTAAAAATATGATGACTTTATAAAGGATTTTGGCAACATTCTGCAAAGTAAATATTCTGAACTGGCTAAAGCCATTTCTGCTTAGTAATTTTGGGTGTGATAGTCTAATTGATATGGAGGGTAAGTCATTACCTGATTATATATTTTGTATCTGTACTGAGGAAAATCAGAAGCCTCCCCTTCTTTATTTATCCATCTTTCCCCCTTTTTTCACTGCTTCCCTTTTTGAATCCCTTCTCCCCTTTTTATTGTTATCTTCTGTTTTATTTTCCCTTGAAGTTTAATAAAGATTTTTTTTAAAAAAAATCTGGAGGATATTGAATTAAGAAAACTGATTCAAGGTTCAAGCTGAACCTCTAAATGTCTGCCTTGTTTTTATTGTTTAAGTGGGCTTGGAAAGATGAAGGGAATTTTACCCACCTAGCTAGGTATAGGAAACAATTTCTTCATAATTTTACTACCCATATTGTGGTTCAAGTCCTTATTCCATTTAATCTGTCAGGTTGGATAATAGCAGTTTTGTTATATGCTGATAAGTGCTACAATTTTCATTAGCATGTATTGAGTTGAAGAGAGCATTGTGAGATCTGCCTTTGGTTATTATAAGGAGGGACCTTACTGGAAAACTACTAAAAGTAAATATAGTGGGTTTCTGAAAAAAATAAATAAATATACCTTTACCGGTATCAGCAACTGAATGGGCACCAAATTGAACAAGTAAAGAACTTTAAATATCTAGAATCTTATTCAATATAGTGGAACCCTGGAACACAAGTTCAAAAACCATGCTCAGATTTTTTAGAACTGGGTTGAGTGTAGAAGTTTTGATTTCAACTGTTTGATATGTTTTGATGTTACTGCTGAAGTGCTTTATAGTGCTTCATTTTTTTTCATATGCATCAATATTTTTCAACCTTGGGAACTTTTGGATGTGTGAACTTCAACTCCCAGAATTTAAGGGGAAGATCTGTAAGGGGAAGAGCAAACGTTATCTGTTGTTTAACCAAAAGGATTCATTTTGGTCTAACAGCAGACATAATGCAGCAGATTTTGCTTAAAAGCAACATAGGAAAAACAGCCCTGAATACACAAATATTAGAAGGAAGTAGCATTGTAATGCTTTTGCTGTATGTCTTCATTTTTTATTTTTAACTTTACACTAACTTATTTTGCTAGAGAATGATCAGCTGAAATCCCCTGCTCCTCATATTAAAAAATTGTCTGTAAGCAAAGACTTGAGTATCAAAACCAGAACATAATATGTGATGTCCATTTAGTTTCCCCTCTTTCCCAAATTTGCACATGAAATGTTAAACTTTAAAATTGCTACTTGATACATTTTGAGAAGTGGGTCTTGAGACATCCAAGGGCTCCATATCAGAGCATACTTAAAAATTTCATCCAGAAAAATATCTGTTATGATTAGTACATGGAACTAAAAGAGCCAGCCAATGAGTGTAGTATGTGAAGCCATTGGAATACTGCAGGTGAGAAAAACAGTCAAGAATGCTAAAGGAGCTTTCTCTAATCTGTAACATTTGATTATTTCTGTTCTAGAAGAGCCCTATCTATCTTATGATTCTGGGAGGCTGGTCTTTTTCTGTTTATCTTACCCAGTTGGCCTTCAGAAATCTACAGGAAATATGTACATTATACTGGGAATATCTACTTGGTGAGTAGATGGCCTTGTTTTTGATGCTGAAGTCATTTTACAGTGTTTTTTGAGCTAATCTATATAGGGAAACAGCAGCAGTTGACTTTCTTAAGCAACACTTAAGTAACTACTTTCTAAAATGGTCCAAGTATTATGATTAGTTTGCGTAAATAGAGTTTTCAGGTTATTACATTTCCTAGTTATCTAGGAAAAATACAAATAATTATTTCTACGGCAGTATATTTGGAATTAAATAGAAGGAAGATACCAAATCTTGCATAGGTTTGTGGAACCATGATACTGTAAAACATAAAGGTTGGAAAGACATTATTTACACTTTCAAAACCATCTGTCAGTTAATGCTGGTTATGCATTCCTCATTACTTCTCATACAAAACAGGCTTATTTGGAATGTCAGTATTCTTATTCTTTATTAATAAGGACTTTAAGATTAATTTTTATTACTTATAATAAAAAAATTAGAGTGTAACATTACAAAACATAAATAGAAAAACAGAAAATAGAGCTTGCAGAATCAATGGAATCTTTACTAACAGAATCATTTTAATGAAGAAGAGAAAAATTCAGAAAGACATCTTTGTTTAGAAAAAAATACTCAAAAATGGATAACTATCCAACAGCATAGAAACAAAAATCTCAGTATATACCTTAACCTACTGTTGGAAAGCCACCTGGACCAAAAGTCTGGCCAGTTTAAATCTGTGTAATAGTATCAATTTCTGAAGAAATTATATTGCAGATAAATAAATAGTTTGATCATGGGTAATCTTTGAAAGGCATATTTAGGCCACACACTATAATTTAACCATCTGAAACATTTGAATTTAGGTCTAAAATATTTTTTTTAAAAGTTTTATTGGTTTTTAAGATAAACATAGACAAACACAACATAAAAACATCAAGCCATCTTCCATATATATACATACAGTGTGTCGGGTGGTTTACAAATTGTTTTGTGCCTCCACTTCATAGTCATCACTTACAATTACATTGTATATGTTCTCATATTGTCAATCAAATATTCCTAAATACATTAATATCATTGTTAATCAATCATTTGACTATACTATTATTCATTCATGTTTTACAAGATAATCCATATTTTATTTTATTTGTTTTATGACAATTCATATTATCATCCCAAATCTATCCTATAATTATTTTGTAGTTATGATAAAAATAATACATCTTTATATTTTCATTATATTCTAAAAATCTACATATTTCATTACCATGTTTTATTGTTTAACCATTGATAAAATAGATCCCAAATCTTATAAAATTGTTTATCTTCTTGTTCTCTGATTTCAAATGTCAATCTACTCATTTCAGCACATTTTAATATTTTCTTAATATGTTCGTATTTTCTCATTTTTCCAGTTTTTAGCAAATACAATCCTAGCCGCTGTTAATACATTTACAATCAAATATTTCAATTCCTTACTGTATATTTCAGGTAAAATTCCCAATAAAAATATCTCTGGTTTCAAGTCTATATGTTTTTTTTGTCATTTTTTCCAACCATGTGTGGATTTTAGTCCAATATTTTTTAGCATTCATGCATGTCCACCACATATGGTAATATGAGCCAGGTATCTGATGTCATTTCGAACATTTTTCAGATTTGTTCTTGAACATTCTTGCTATTCTTGTTGGGGGGAGATGCCACCTGTAAAACATCTCATACAAATTTTCTTTGTATGCAGTTGACATTGTCATTTTATAATTTTGAGACCACAATTTTTCCCATTTCTCAAGATCAATCCCATATCCAAAATTTCCCCCCCAAGCAATCATTGTTTCTTTGACTTGTTCTTCTAGTTTAATTTCTAATAAATATCCATACAATTTTTTAATCACCTTTTCATCAGTACCTGTCAAATTCTTATCTAAATCAGTCAATTTATCATAAAAACCTTCTGTTTTAGAGTCTTTATCATACCTAGAATGTATTTGCGCATATGAAAACCAATTCATCCTTATACCTTGTTCTTCTAGTTTTTGCATAGATTTAAGTTCACACTTTTCATTCAATATTTCACCATATCTAACTGTTTGTTCCTTTTTATATATTATAGGATAAGAAAATGCTTCAATAGTCGATAGCCAGACTGGAATTTTCAAATAACATTGCCTTTTAGTCTTCTCCCAATTTAACCACAGAGCCTCCCGTATATAATGTCTTCTAAAATACCCCTATGTTTTAGTTCCTTTATACCATAGGAAGGCATGCCATCCCAACAACAGATCAGGTTCTTCTAATGTCAACAATCTAGTATTTCTTAATGTTATCCATTCTTTAACTCACATCAGATTTGTAGCTTGGTAGTACAACTCCCAATTAGACAAACCAAATCCTCCTCTTATTCTAGCATCTTGCAAAAGTTTTGGTTTTATTCTCGCTTTCTTACTATGCCCTATATATTTCAACATAATTTTATTTAAATCTTCAAAATAGTCTTTTCCAAGCCTAATTAGAATTATTTGGAACAAATATAAAATTCTGGGTAATATATTCATCTTGATTGTTGATATTCTCCCTATTAATGATAATTGTAAGTTTTCCCATTTCGCCAAATCTAGCGCTATCTGCTGCTTGAGTTTAATATAGTTATTCTCTTTAAGTGTGCTACATCTTGCTGTCAAATGTATCCCCAAATACTTGATATTATTTGTGACCTGAATTTTCAAAATATCCGCCAATTCTTTCTTTTGTCTTGATAGCATATTCTTTGTCAAAATCTTTGTCTTATCTTTATTTATTTTCAAACTAGCCACCTTCCCATATACCTCTATCTTTTCTATCAATTTTAATGCTTTTAATGTTAACATTAAATTTTAATGTTTCTAGGGGGTCTTCTAAAATGAAAACCAGATCGTCTGCGAATGCTTGCAATTTAAATTCTTCCTTTTTAATTTTCATCACTTTTATATCCTTTTCTTCTCTAATATTTCTATTTAGCACTTCCAAGGTTAATACAAACAACAAAGGTGACAGTGGGCACCCTTGTTTTGTTCCTTTTCTTATATCAATAGAATCCATCAATTCTCCCTCTATCATTACCTTTGCTGTTTGCTTATGATATATAGCTTCTATTGCATGGATAAATTTTTTATCAAAGCCCATCTGTTCTAGTTGTAATAACATGAATCGCTAATTCACATTGTCAAATGCCTTCTGTGCATCTAAAAATATCAAAGCCATTTGTTTTCCAGGGTATGCCTCATAGTATTCCAAAGTGTCCAAGATTACTCTCATATTGTCTTTAATTTGTCTCTTTGGCAGAAATCCATTTTGATCAGGGTGGATAAAGTTATTTAGTTATTTTTTGAGTCTTTCTGCCAATATTGAAGCAAAAATTTTATAATCTGAGTTTAGTAGGGAAATAGGTCTATAGTTCTTAATTTGTAATGGGTCGGCGTCCTCTTTTGGGACAAGTGTAATATAAGCTTCTGACCATGATTTGGGTATCCTCTTCTTTAATATAACTTCATTCATAACTTCTAATAATGGAAGATTCAACGATTCTTGTAGTGTTTTGTAGAATTCCGCTGGAAGTCCATCTGGGCCTGGTGCCTTTCCATTGTTTTGCTTCTTGAGTGCTTCAGTTAACTCCATCATCATTATATTGCTTTCTAACATTGTTTCAATCTCTTTAGATATCTGGGGTAGATTAACATTCTGTAAATACTGTTTAACTCTTTCCTCATCAATGTTCTTTTGTGTGTATAGTTTCCCATAATAATCTCGTATGAATTTGTTCTTCTCTTTACTTCCATAACAAGTTTGGCCTTGATCATCTATTAATTGCAATATTTTCCTTGATTCTCTCTCCTTTCTCAGTTTATATGCTAACCATCTACCTGGTTTATTTTCAAAATAGTTCTGTTTCGCACCTCTGATTTTCTGAGCTAATTCTTCTTTTTCCATGAATCCCATTTTATGTTTAATTATATCCATTTTTAACTTAATGTCCTTTTTCTGTGGCATTTTCTGTAACTCTTTTTCAAGTCTTTTCCGTGTATAGACTATTATCAAGCCTCTGGCATATGCCTTCATTGTATCCCATACATTCTGCATTGATGTGTCTTCTTTTTTATTTTCTTTAAAGAAAAAAGCCAGTTCTTTCTCCATTCTCTGTATAAAGTCTTTTTCTTTTAGTATAGTGTTATTTAACATCCATCTAGATCTTCTTCTTTGTCCTTTCTATTTAATTGTCATTGGGTTATGATCTGCCCAAGTCCTTGTTTCAGTGTTTATTTCTTGGAGATTAGCGAACAATTCTGTTGACATCCATATCATGTCTATTCTGGACCATGATAAATGTCTGTTTGAATAGAAGGTGTATTGTTTAGTCTTAGCATTTCTTTCTCTCCATGCATCTTTTAAATTTATTTCATCTGTCATTTTAAAAAAGGATTTAAGGAGAGTGTTTCTGCTTTGCTTTGTTGTTTTCTGTGTTGTATAGTCCAATTTATTGTGTTGTGGCCCCGATTCCCGAGCCTATGCTGTCAGAGGAAGAGGACCTGGAAGATGAGGAGGAGGAACTGGGAATGCCTTCCTCCCCAGGACCTTCCTCTCTGGCAATGCCTCAGGTTCCATCAGACAACCGAGAGGAACAGCCTGAGATTAATCAGGAGGAAGGCATATCGGAGCAGCCCCTGACAGGGAGTAAAGAGGAAGAGTGTTGGCTCGATCCTAAGCAGCGTCGTAGGGAGAAACGTGAGCAGCAACATAGGAGGCGAGACCTGCAATAATACTCTCCCATGCTCTTCCCTCTATCTTATCAAACAGGCTCAAAGTCCTTGAAAAGAAGTCTCAATTCTTTCTCAGCTTTGTCTGGTCGAGAGAAAAAAAGAGAAACAATATTTCTAAGCCTCTAGTTGGCAGTGTTATAAAGTTTCCTCTGTTTTCACTTTCCCCCTCCTTTTCCAAACAAAATATAATAAAAATTAATTAAAAAGAAAAAAAGATTTAGAAAAAAGGGCTGAAAGGGAATCTCTAGCCTAAAATATTATAAAGACAAAAAGGAGAAAAGACAAAAAAAAGAAAAAGTAAGGTAGAAAAAAAGATCAGTCCAGTTTCAAAGTAAAAAATTATATATGAAGAGTCCAGCAAAAAAAAAAAAAAGAAAATATTAATTTGACTTCCTGTTTAAAATCGCCGCTTAATCACTTCTGCCTGAGATTTTACAGATTCTTTCTTTTCCTTAGGGTGTCCTTTCAAATCTTAAAGTAAAGAAACAATTCTCACCAAACCAGCACATTTCCTCTTTCCATTCTCTTCCATTTCGGAACTGTCCCGACTTCAGCAGGTTTAATGGCTGCCTCTTTGCTGCTGGCAAAAAGAGCTTTTCCTGGATCTACCAGGGACTTTGCGGTATCCCTGGGATTGACAGGATGCGCTCTTTATGTTCACCGTCTCTTCGGGACGGTTTAGATCCGTTTGGACCGTCCAGGAGCAAAGATATTGGCGGTGATCTCAGACCTTCAAGGTCTAAAATATTCTAAAGGTCTGGTTTATCAAATTTAAGTCAGTATATGCTTTATCCTGAGAATCCTTTATAATAACAATGATACTACGATATAGATATGGATTAATCCAGAGCTAGACTGATTTTCCTTCTCATTCCCAGTCATCTTGCTTGATTTTATTCAATAAATATTGGTTTCTAAAGCATGAAGTTCCATTTTATCAGACATAAAAACATATAATTCCATCTTCCAATGTGTTGTATAATTTACTTTCTTAATGTGATTTTCCAAATTGTAATCTATTAAGTTTTGTTTTCCAACCTCAAATAGATGCCTTGAAAGCCTCTCATAGAATCATGAAAGTCACAGAATGCAAAAAGTTTATAATCTTGTCCCATCATGTATCACCAGCAGTAAGATTTATATTACAGTTATCAGATCAGTCTGCTAAAAACAATCCTGTCAGGAATGAGTTTTATGAAGGGGAATTGTTTCTATGATGAATTCAGAAGTTGCCATATGTGTGCCAATAAATAGGCTTGTGATTAACACTTTCCATAAATGAAAGCTCAGCTTACATGAAACAATATTGCAATCAAGCTGAGGGTTGAAAACTTAATTAAACTCAGCTCTAAAAAATGAACAGAACATCTATATAAAACATCTGGATGGTCTTTAGTGGGACTATTTGATGAATTATTAAAATTTCTAGCCCCCCCCCCTTCTAATCACATATTGGAAGAAGATATTTTGTCTTCTGTGGACATAATATTTTATAACACTTGTTTTCTTCTATCCATTGATAAAAAAGGGTGATACATTTCTTCTGGATCAGAATGTTGCAGATTGTACTTGTTTGATATTTTGTAAAATATGCTGAGTCAGAAACATGAATTCTTACATTTTATTTCCTTCTGGCTTCAATGTTTTGGCTGTATACTAATGTCCAAGTTGTTTAAAACACACGTGATACTTATAACCAGAGTCTTATTGGCTGATTTAGACAAGCTGAATTATACTGACAGAGTAATTCTTGGTGATAGTGAAAATCCAAATAAAAATAATTCTTTTTCTTCCTCCACAGGCTACCTGGTCACTGTAGGGTGTGTAAGCTTTGCCCTGTGCTACAAATATGGCCCTCTGGAGAATGAACGCAACATAAATCTCCTCACTTGGGGTCTGCAGATTTTCGGCTTGCTGCTCCTTTATTTGAGCATTCAGATACGATATATTGCCGTCATCTTGATTATAATTGCAATCTGCACTAAAAACCTGGAGTATCCAGTCATATGGGCCTATGCCATCTACAGGTGATGGATGGGAAACATTGGCTTGGCTCGTCCTAGAAAACACGATGTAAATAATAGGCCCATTAAGAAATGTGTAGGATAGAGCTGAGCGAATATGTTTATATGCATAACACTGTCCCAAAAATGAGTGACTTATGTTTTCAGTTGAAATTCTTAGCATGTTTTTTTCATTCCTGGCTAATTCTCCAGTCCCTATAGCTTGTGGGTAAAGGCTTTTCAAATGACAGACATTACTATATGATTCCCTGGAGGAGGCAAGTGCCAGAAAAAACCCCCCTCTGAAATTGCAAAATCTCAGGAAAGAACACTGAAGTGCTAATCTATTATTTTAATTTTGTAAATAATCAGCCCATTATTATGATGCACTGTTTCAGATAGCGTTGGTTATGTGATACTGAAGTGAGAGCAACCTATGTTTAAAATCCTCTAAAGCTGAAATTATTATTTTTTGCTTAGACAAATAAAGACATGATGTCACACCAGTTTAGAAGAGGAAAATGAAACTGAGATTTAGTTTACATATACTAACCTGGAATATTTGTTTAGTTTGGGCTTACCATGTCATGTGAACTCAGGCACTGTGATAAATGATTTTAGTGTGTCGAACGTACTTCATGATCATGATTTTAGTGTGTTGAACGTACTTCATGTTGAGGTTTTGGGTGGCTATAAAATTTTCCTTTTTGTGTCTTCACCACAACCTGGCCATACTTGTAGAAAGTACTTACTCAGAACTGAAGTTAATTAATGAATAAAGATAAGTACCTTTTCCTGAGCATTTTTTAAAAAACAAGGTAACCCTGCTGTATTTTTTTTTAATGTAAGAAACAAAACAAAATGAGATGCAGATGACAAGCAATTTTAGAAGCTGTAGAGAATGGTGTAAATTTTTTTCTGGTAAGAGGTAGAATTATTGATGAGGAGACCACTCTCTGAAAAGAAAAGCCAAGTGGCAAAAGTCTTGGCCAGCCCAGCAGAGGAATCCCCAAGGCTCCTTCTCTCTTTTTATACAGCCTTGTAGAAGAGCTGGTAAGGGAAGCAGAATTTGGAATAGGAATAAGTCATTACTTCAACACTTTAAACCAGTGTTTCTAAACCTTGGCAAGTTTAAGTGGTGTGGACTTCAACTCCCAGAGTTGAAGCCAGCACAGCTGGTAGGGGAATTCTGGGAATTGAAGTCCACACCTCTTAAACTTGCCAAAGTTGAGAAACTGTTTTAGACTGAATCACTGGCTTCATATGACCATGTGGCTTTTGCAAACCTTTGGCAAAAGAATCTGGTTCTAAAGGTTCATTCTTGTGTGAGAAGCAGGCTCCTGATCTATGTCTTCTATTCTGTAAAATAATTATGTGACTAAGATATCTGGGTGTTGCACTTGAGTGCTTGTCTAAATACATTTGTAAGATATTTCAGGAAAACTATTGAGTGAGGTATTTTTTTCAGAGAAGTGAGACACAACTGATTTAAAATTATTCAAACCATAAAGTTTTTGCTAAACATGGGGTAAAATAGGGCTGACTAGTTAAGTACACTACTAAATCATGGAAGACGCTACTATCTTAAGTGCTGTTGAGCAAAAATGAGTCCAGATTCTCAAGAAGAGGCCTGATTTCAAAGCACCATTCTGATAATCTTTATCAGAATCCTTTGGCATGTTGAAGATGAACAATAGTACAGTATTATCACAAACATATATAACAATGTTTTAGCATTTCTTAGATATCTTTGCAAAAGATATGACTGCAAATTATTATAGTAAAACCGGAGGATGATATCCGTCAAGAAGGCCTAGGTCTAGAACATTCAACTTAAGAGAAGGTTCAGTTTTGAGAGTGTGTGTATCAGGTGCCCTCTCCTAAGTGGTTTGAAGATTGCAAAGGGCCAGATTGCAATGTCTGACTTACAGGTGCTACTAACGCCATTGCTGTCCTAGCAGGAAGCTGTTCACAGCTCCAGAAAAGCCCAGCCCACCACGCCTATTGTCCGAGGAGGAATATCGGATCCTGGGGGAGGTAGAGACACGCAAAGCCTTGGAACAACTGCGGGAGTACTGCAGAAGTCCAGAGTTCTCTGCATGGAAAGCAGTCTCCCGCATCCAGTCTCCAAAAAGGTATCGTCCATGAAGATCATCAGAAGGGAGGGCTGAGCTATAATGTGCTGTGAGATTTTTTTTTTTTTGTAATCTTAAATTAAAAAAACAACAATTTAAAGCCATATTTGAGGACCACAAAAAAGGATGTGTAGGGAATCAAATTTAAAACAATCTAGATTTCTTTTATGGGAAGAACACCCATTTTTTGTATGTACATGCTATATCCAAGCAGTTTTTTCCTCTCAATTTAGACTTTAACTTGCAAATACTTAGTAAAAACTGTAAAGTTAATTGTAGAATGAAGTAGTTGTAGGGTTCATTAGTTATAGCATTGCCTACCTTGTTCTTTCTTTCCTCCAGATTTGCTGATTTTATAGAAGGTGCCTCACATGTCGTTCCCAATGAGGCTTCTGTCCATGAGCAGGAGTATGGGTTGGGAGGTTCCTTTTTAGAGAATCAGCTCTTTGAAGAGGAAGATGAGGAAGATGACAGCAGTTTTGATGAGGATTATCCAGAGACACCGTGGCCCCAAAATCACTTAAATTTTCAAGATAAAACTGGCCACTGTTGATGCAAATGGATTGACTGATGCCCCTTATTGATCCTGTCTGCTGTTACAGTGGAAGAGTGCTATAGAAAAACCTTTTCTGTGTGGCATTGCTTAAGTATCTGTATGACAGGCGTCTAAAGCCCTGCGATCTATTCCAGACCATGACATGACAATGAACTGCAACATACTTGGGATATTTTATCAATATTCTGGATTAAATAACTTATGAAGTACAAGCTGGTCAGAACCTACAGCTGTTAGCAGTGAGTAACTTACTGAGGAGGAATATGGGAAGCTTGTAAATCATTACTGAAAGGCAGTGGAAAAATGACAAATCATTTTGCCATGAGAAAAACAGGAAAGGTTGAAGAAAGGTTTGAAAGTCCAGGTGAATTTGGTAGATATATCCTAATTTTGTACTGTCTTCCTGGGAAGCAATAGCTGCTGCCCTTTGACTTTCCAGGATGCCAACAGAGATTTGAGAGCATGCTGCTCTTCCTCCAGTAGCTATGCTTTTTATGTGTTGGCTTAAATTTTGCCTCCTGGGTTCAATACACTGAAGGTCTGAGGCTACTGCTTGTTGCAGAATATGTAATGTGTTTGCTGGGAGCCAATAAATTACTAGGTCTCCCAGGGAGGTTCTGTCCTCCTATACATGATAATTGCACAAATAGAAATATTTTTAATTATATATCTTGAAAAGAGGGTTGCTTCAACTAAAATACTTCCTTTAGACATCCCCCACAATCTGTTACATATTATAACTTATTTGTGGCCTTTTTGGTGGGGTTGACATCAGATATGAGCTGCTTTCAGTTTGAAGAATTAATTTCTGTATGGCTAGAATGGAGGTTCTAGATTGGTCTGAAGGAGAAACAGCAATCTGAAATGCTGGATTTTGTACAAAACTGCTTTTTGAAGCCAAAACTTTGTGATCTTCACCAAACCCACATGGTTCAGATTTAAACCGCCTTGTTTTTACTGATAGTCCTCAATGGTATTGCAATCCTTTGAGAAAATTCAATTGTATCTTAATGAGGACATGGCAATAAATTCATAGTAGGTGCTTATATGTATACCCATCCAAAATGTTTGTATTACAGCCATCCAAAATTTATTAACTGATAAATTAATTCTGCTTTTAAAGTTTCTATTGGCAAACACCCCCCCCCCCCATCCTTCTTAACAGGATTGAAAAAGCTCTAATAATCTATTTTAAAACCTTGTCAGCTTCCTAATCACTAAAATGATCACTCAGTTTAGTTACACAAGGCTGTTATTTTAACTGGGATCAGAGCTGGTTCCAAGAACCAGAAGACGAGAAAACCAGTCAAACAAAGTTGACATACTATATTTTTCCTGTCCATTTGAAGTGTTAAGGAAAACCGCGGCCCTTGCTATATGCACGCCAAATGTGTAAAATGCTAAAACCAATGTGAAATAATAAGTAGGGCAACAGTTTTAATTTATACAGTACATATTTGCTTAATTTGGGATATAAGCCATGAAGGTGTTTTGAACAGAATAAAATCTCCCTCCCAAATGGTCAAAACTAGTACAGACAACTAATTTTTTAGACAATGAATAAATGGAGAGTACTTTAATTTTCTAACTAGACTTGTGAACTTTTTTTAAATAAAGTTGTTTGTTTAGTAGGAAATGAAGTTTCTTTGTATTGTGTCACTTGGGAAGTCAAGAGGCCTAATCCTGCTTACTGACATTATTACAACTTGCATAATTAATCTGCAAACAATCTGATATCCACTTGACTGTGAAAGGTTTCTACCACAATTATTTCCTGATTGCTGTGTTGTCCTGGTGAGTGAATATATAGTGAATGAAGTTGGCAATGAGTTTCCAAAAGTGAAAAATGTGCTTTTTGAGGCTTTGGCTGATGTAGCATGGTCAGAATGCAGAAGAGATATTTCCTAATAGACATGCTCAATTTTACAACTGATTTCATTGAGAGGTGCTGTGGTTGAGATCAGTTGAGTGAGTGATGAACAGCATCTACGGTATGTATCCTCGAATTTGGCAAATCGATAATGGAGAAACCTGATTCAGTATTTTCAGTATGTTCTGGATTTTAACTGACCTATCATTCTACATATTTAAAAGTCTCGCCTTTTGAAGTCTTTGTTAAATGAGCCCTTTGCAATGCCTGAAACATCATCTCCCCAACTTCCTGTGTTCAAAAAGCTTCTGTATGGCTTTTTTTTCTCTTTATGCCTCTGCAGCCAAAGGATTTGCAGATTTCAGTCCTTGTGGTCAAATCTGTCTCATCATTACTCCCCTCTCTAATTCCAACACAAAAGGAAGTTATAGATGATAAAGATGAACGGTCTGGCTTTTTAGGATTAGCTGACTATGAGATTACTGTTCATTTTAAAATGTTTAGCTTAGAACAGGCATTGTCAAATGATTTGGTACAGGAATTGTGCCCACTTTTCATATTTGCTATTAGGATGCAAGCAATACATGTGAATTTAAAATAAGAGTTCTTTATTAGCTGGAACTTTGCAACTACATAAAGTATAATAGCTTTAAAAGTTACAGTCAAGGTATCTTTCTATGCAGTATGCTTTTAATTAAGGGGCATTTTTTCCACTTTTTTTCTTTGACAATGCATGTATTTTTATCTATTTCCCCCCCCCCTTTTTTTCGGTCATTATTTTAAAAGCAATAAAAAAGAAATGAAAAAAAAAACAAGGCTCATCCACTTATCTTTAACCATCAAACAGTCTGACTTCACAGCTTTCGTGCTTGAGCAGTTATTATGAAGTTCACATTTAAAATATTAAAGATTAAAAGTCTTGCTTTCAGTAAAAAGTCCTGTGATTCAGGACTATACTGTATCATTTGTCACTTAATTTGATCATATAGCAAATTCAGTTCAACGTGGATGTAGGCCTGTGTAGATGCTGTTGTATAAACCAGACCGAAACTACAACATCAGAGTTGTAATACTACAAGAATCAAATGGTCATATATTGCATTTTCTTTAAGTACAACAAAGAAAGAGCAAAAGTATGGGACAAAACTGAAGATAATGGTGTTTACATGTTCATTATAATGTGGTTTGCTTTGCTAGTTGTGACAGTAGCCACTGATTTATAAATCATAGATTAACATATGAACCTTGCCAGAAGCACAGATGTGAGCTCGATCATTTTTCCACTTTAGGCAAGTTTTGCAATTACAATTGCATATTAATTTATTGTCCAACATTATTGCCCAATATTCCAGTTATTTTCTCCATAAAGCTTTTAATGTTGTGTTCATCCTGTCAAATGAGCTAATTCCCCCCCCCCCCCAACACAAATCAGGTATCCTTGTGCTGACTATGGCTATTGAGATGAATATTGTATGCCAGGGGTGTCAAACTCACGGTGTCACATGACGTACTGGGATTTTTCCGCCCTTTGCTTATCCAGGTGGGGGCAGGGCCAGCATGTGACACATCCGGCCCACAAGTTTGACACCCCTGCTGTATGCAAACTCAAAATTTTCTAGCATCCAGGAGACTGATACAACAAATGATTTGTTTACATACAGGAAGCCAGATCCATTGTGCTGATCTGAAAGACAGCATCCATTTGGACAGCCTGCCCTTCTTACCAGCTGCATAATTTGGGCCTTTGTTTTTCCATTCCATGTTTCTATACTAGCTTTGTTTTCAAACCTCTACCCAGCAAAATACTTGACACTGCTAGCCTCTTATCTTAAAGAGCCCATTTGGAAGTAAATAAAACCTCTCAATTATTAACTAGCTACTTCATGTTTTATAAGCAAGCAATGTGTCAGTTACAAAGAACTATTAATTCCACATGCCAGTGAAAATTAAATTTTGAATGCAACATGGTGTTTAAAAAAGTTCTCTCCAAAAGAAGTAATTTTAGCTTCCTCACATCAGGGATTTAAAGTATCAGCAAATCATTCATTAAAATGGCATAATCATCCAATTTATTGAAACCAAACATATAGTAAAACATATAGAAATAGAGACTGTTTAAACACATTAAATTAAAGCACGTTATGGCAAATGGGGACAATCCATCATCCACTGCTTTTCTGCGTGGAAGGCAGCTTCAGGTTTTCCTGTCATCCGGATAACTCTTTAAAATATATGCTGGGGAGAGCCATGAAACAGAACAGAAGGGAGAATGCAAAAAAAGAGTAAAGCTACAGCTAAAACTTCCATACATCTCATTTCCAGTATCTGTACCACTTTCTTTTTCTTGCTTAAATTGTAGATGTTGGCCATTAAAAACTTGGCCACATTTTACTTCCTCCTCCGTCACCCTTAATGAGTACTACAATCGTGTTGTTAAAACCCCTTCAATAAAAAACATCTACTTTGGTAGCATGTATAAGATAAATCCTGATCTCCCTACATATTTTATAGAAGGTAGCCCAAGTATACATACTGCACCTCCAGGAACTGGCTATTCTTGTTCCTTTGCTGGTATAAGCATTTTTACTGGTATAAGAGAATTGATTCAAGTGCCAGCATTATTGCTGTAACGCAACTACTGGTAGCTTATTCAACACCCCTCTTCGGTCATGCAGTTACAAGACCCCAGTCTGAGCAGTCTTGTAGAGTATTATCAGACACCGTAAGAGCTCCAAAGTTATCCCAAGGAAGGCAGGATCCCAACAAGGCAACAACTGTGCAATAAATTACAAGCAAACATTTTCCATGACTGTTCTGATAAGACGAGTCCCCTCAGTCAAGAATTCTGTTGGACCACTGTGGCCTCTGCATCCTCAGTCATTGTTAGCAAGCAGGCAGAGGGGGCTCTCTTCCAGCCCCTCCAACCGATGGCCTCTCTTATCCACACACCAGCAGCGGCCTCTCTTCTGACCTTTGGAGGTCCGGCACTATGGAGAAGACAAGACCCTTTTCAACAGCAAATTGACATTCCTTGAAAATATAGAACAACAGTGAAACTACACCCGCTGTAGAAGACTGGATTTCTTTACAATTATGCTTTTATATGTAAAAAAAAGATGGCTCATTTGAAGCAGATCATAATAAATCTTATCTGCTACTCAGTATAGCTGCTGCTGAAACAAGCCTCTCTGCAAGAAAAAAAATAAGCAATGGCTAACGTATTTAAAAAGGAAGCTATTTCTCTAATCTTGATCTCTTTCATAGAAAGCTGAAAGAACTAAGGCAGGGGTCGGCAACCTTCAACACTCAAAAGAGCCACAAAAGGTCCTAACTGGAAGCGCCCCTCCCCCTCCCGTTCAATTCGGGAGCTGAAGTTGATGAAATTGAGAAGTACTTTTTTAAGCCATGACACTTCAATGAGAATCCCTTGCTACTCTTTAAATCCTATCCTGCACTGCCCATTGCTGATGCTTTTGCTAGTACATTAGGGAGATGGTTGGATCAGGATAGTGATTCAGGCAAAATGATTGTATCTAGACAGTCCGAATGAAACCAGGTTTGGAAGAATTGGAATTTGGTAGGTCTCACTGAGCCTTGCTATACAGCAAAGAGACAATCCCATTGAGTTCTTCCAATTGAATCAGAATCATAGAACACAGCTGGATTTACTTCTGTATAATGCATAAATAGAATTAAACTTTTAAAAAGTAAGAGGAAGGAGCTAAATGTTCCCATAAATGCCACCAGGGTGGGTTTGTACAATGGGTGAACCCAGGAATTGGGGCTTTCTCCACTGGACTTCAAGCAACAACTTAACATAATGTATAAGGAGCAAGACTGGCAATTTTGTGTTATTGCTCTAATGCAAACTGGAGAGCCACCAGCAAGCTCACTGGGCTTTGGACATATTGCAATTTTTTCACCACACCCTTTCTCCCACTGTGGGAAACTCACTCTCTGCACGAGTTTCTTTGACATTCCAGCCCAAAGCCGAGTTTTGCCTGCATGAGTACATCTTCCCTCAAAGACCCGGAACAGCTTCCTTTGCTTTAAACCACGTTTAAAGTAGATACCTGCTTCCGCCTATAAAAGCCTTTGGTGTCACAGTTGGGAATGAAGATATCTTCACCATTCATGTAGAGGGGGGCTTTCAGCTCCTGCAAGATGGCTTCCAAATGCAGGCGGCAGGGACCCTGTGAAAAGAAGAACAAGTTAGTGATTGAAAGGGGGAAACAATTGCACTGCGTGAGGATGGGCAGGCCTTAGATATAGGTATTTGGCTCTAGGTAACGTTAGCAGGACTCGATGCCAGGGGTCCCCAAACCTGGGCCATGGCCCGTTCGGAACTCGGTTGCATAAGCAGCGACCAAGTGGCACACGCGCACAGCTCCATTTGCGCGAGCAGTGGGCATGCACACCCATACATGAAGCTCCATTTGTGCAAGCTGTGAGGACACGCAACTGCCGCTCACACAGAACCATCCCCTTCTCCCGCACCTGTCCCCCAAGCTGAAAAGGTTGGTGACAGCTGCTCTATGCAACAAAAGCAATCACGTTCGGCTGGTGACTCTTTCTCCCTAGCATGCTGCCTTTTAATCCACTATATGTATTTGGGGATCTTTAAAAAGCAACTTCTTGGCAATCTCACATGCATTGCAAAACTGCACGCTTTGCTGAATATGCAGATTGGGAGAGGGAAATTGAGATGCAGATTCCCCTGAAAAGCAATGATGCGCAGGACTCTTTAGTTTCGCAGGACTCTTGGTTTCGTAAGTCTCAGCACTGCTAGGAAGCAAAGACTGCAGAGGGCGAGATGCATGAATTCCAGCAAGGCACGAGAAGAAGGCAAAGGCAACCCCATTTATTCTCTTCCAGGGCTTGGTGCCCAAGATCAGGCCTCTCATTTCACTCACCATATCCAATTCCTGTTTAATACCATTATTTAGGGGGTCCTGTTGTATCTGGGATTTGTCCACCACATCTGGCAAAGGGTCTTGGACCTGAAGGAGGAGAGGTTCTGGGGTTGGATTATCTGTCTGGTAATTTTCCCTTCTGACATCACCTAGAGGAACAGAAACAGAATTCAGCTTTTTTCCCCTCATTTTTTTAAAGTCAAGGGCAGAAATATTCAACTTCAGCCCTCTTCACTACAGCATTTCAGGATTTTATCACAACTGGTACAGAAGAGCAATTTTGCACCACCTTTAAGGAGAAGTTCATAAAAGATACTGGCTTCTAATCCTTTAGGGACTGCCCAGTTAGTTTAATGTATGCTTCTTTGTATTTTAATTGCATTCGCATGTCACCAACTCCATTCAAACTTTTGGTGTTTTGTGAATGATCTATTCTTAGTGTTTGTAAACCACCCTTGGTCCACAGAATTAAGTGGTGTGTTAGTGAAAATAAATAAGTAAATAATGGGACAGGCAGCATTCCAACTCCCTTTATATTATTTCTCCCTTTATATCATTCCGTTGGGTTAGAAAAAAATAAGATAAAAATTAATGTCAGTGTTGTTACCAGCAGTGGCCACAGGATGTAGCTGCAGTGCATTATATGCAGTACTTTCTCCAGAGTCTAATGATATGTGTGTGTGAAAGAGATAATGAGACAGGGAGGATCTAAAAATCAAGGTGTATGCAAATGAATTGCTTGTGCGTCTTTATGTACCTCTAGGAAAGGCAATCCAATCAGTGTGTATATACAGGATTTTTTTTTCTTTCCATCTAATTGGCTAACCATGACAGACTCTTGCAAACTGCCTGACAAGTCCCTGCAGTCTTCTTAGCAATGGTTTACAGAAATGGTTTGCCATTGTGTCTTTCCAAGGTCCTGGGAGAAAATGACTGGTCCAAGGTCATCCTTCATGGCTAAGGCAGATTAGAACGCATGATTTCTAGCCTGATGTCTTAACCACTAGATCACACGGGCTCCTCTCCACATACAGGAAGTCCTCATTTAACAGTCCTAATGGGGGCCAGAATTGAAATTGCGGCAGTTGTGAGATGAAACATCACGTGACCACACCACTGAGCAATGGCAGTTCCAGCAAGTCCTAGATGTGATCAATTAGGCCAGGACTGTGCCACCAACTCTTCTGCCCTACCGCATTCACCCTAGCCTGTAGTCCCCCACCCTCAACTATCTCTACTGTTACTTCTGCCCCTTTTAGTCACCCTGCATTTTGCTGCCCCTAGCTGACTTTTGCTGTCTTCTTCCTCCTCCTGCTGATGTGATATAGAAATAGCACTTAGACTTATATACCGCTTTATAGTGCTTTACAGCCCTCTCTAAGCGGTTTACAGAGTCAGCCTCTTGCCCCCAACAATTCGCGTCCTCATTTTACACACCTCGGAAGGATGGAAGGCTGAGTCGACCTTGAGCCTGGTGGGATTTGAACTGCCAAATTGTAGGCAGCTTGCTGCAGAAGTAGCTTGCAGTACTGCACTCTAACCACTGCACCACAGAAATATACCTGGGCAAAGCAACTACTGGAGTTGCATTATTTCACAAGGGTGCACACTGACCAACAGTTGCCATATCAGCTGTGAGAGGAATTAAAATAGCAAAGGTTTGTAAGCAGGTGGCACAGGAGGGTAGCCAAAAAGACAGAGCAGGGTGGAGATCGGTGGTGGTGGTGGGAGTTGAAGTGCATCCTGTGGTTGTAAATGCAGGCCAACCATCTAAATTTGTTGTTGCTGAACAAGCTGCAAGCTGCATACATTGCACTCTTGGCCACACCACCCAAAGCTTAAAATGGAGCTGCCAGTAGCATTTCAAGCCGCTGCTCTATTGCCTCACCTATGGGGACACCTTACAGATAGTCCTTAATTTATGGACCTTTTGTTTAACGATCATTTGAAGATACAATGGCTTTTGAAAAAAAGACATGCAAATTGTCCTTGAAGTCACAACTGTTGCACCACCCCGACGATCATATGATCACAATTTGGTCATTGGGCAACTGGTTCACACTGATGATGGTTGCAGCAGCTTGCAGTTAAGCGATGACGATTTGTGAGCTTCCCAACCAGCTCCTGACAAGCGAAGTCAGGAGAAAGGCTGGATTCACTTAATGACCATGTGATTTAACAAAGATAATAAAAATGGTCATAAAATTGGGTCCAGTCACTTGCATTACAACCATACTGATTTATAACCACAATTGAAACGAATTTCCATCATATGTCAAGGACTATCTGTAGAATGATATTTTTCCTAGAGAGTGTTTCTCTGCAGTCTGGTTCAGTTTTCAAAATCAATCATCAATCTTCCTTTTTCTGGCTTCTGCTTTTTACAGGAACCACCACCTTCATGAAAATTACTTGCTCTTTCCACATCTACAATTAACTCAAGTATGACCTTCCCCTTAAGGCCTCTCTCCACAATTCAGGGTCTCTCAACCCATTAACGGCACCACCAGGCTAGCACCAAACAGCAAGAGCAGCCTCGGGATTTCTAGATTACTGAACTTTCGCTTCAGAATAGATAGAATACTTTGTTGGCCAAGTGTAGTTGGACACACAAGGAATTTGTCTTGGTGTAAATACTCTCAGTATACATAAAAGAAAAGATACATTCGTTAAGAATCAAGAATCATAATGTACAACACTTAATGATAGTCATAGGGTACAATAAGCAATCAATCATACTAGGAAACAGTCAATATAAATCATAAGGATACAAGCGACAAAGTTACAGTCCTACAATCACAAGTGGAAGGGGATGGGTGATAAGGAGTGATGAGAAGATTAACAGTAATAATAGTGCAGACTTTGTAAATAGTTGAACAGTGTTGAGGTAATTATTTGTTTAGCAGAGGGATGGCTTTTGGGGAAAAACTGTTCTTGTGTCTAGTTGTTCTGGTGTGCAGTGCTCTATAGCGTCGTTTTTAGAGAAGGAGTTGAAACAGTTTATGTCCGGGATGTGAGGGGTCTGTAAATATTTTGGCAGCCCTTAGACCTTACAGATCTTACAATAATTCAAAGACCAGATTTTGTTAGAGACTCCGACAGCCAGAATCTCCAGATGATGCATAGAACCCCTCCCCAACTCAAATTTTATATTCAAAGTTAACTTCTTTTCCTGCTTTCTAAATTACCTAACTTGTTGACAGGTTAAAGAGACCTCAAGTGCTAGTATTCTTTATAGGAAAGCATCAAAAGATTTTCTCACAACAGATACTCCCCATTTGGGATTTTTTTGTGCCGGCCCATGGAGCTATTTTTAACACTGTTTAGTTCGATTGTAAGTCCTTGGGCACAAATCTCTGATGCATGAAGATGTAATCCTGCACACCTACTGGATGCAGGTTATCTGATTCCATCCTTGACTGCCTCCTTTCTGATTCTGAAGACAGCCTAGAAACCCCTGTGTTGAATAGCAAGTACGTTACTTATTTATTTAAAGATTCACTCATGAGAATTATCTAGTTTTTCCCAAGGAAAGGATTTGTCTCTCTCGTCTTTGATGGAAATAGATTTGACTAAAAAAAAAACACCAAGGCATGATTAAGATCTTATTTTCAAAACCAAAGAATGAAGAAAGAGTGTCACCCAAGCAAGCTTTGGGAAGAGGCCTGGTTTTTAACCTAACGTCCATCTAACGGATACCATCTGCAGATTTTCTCCCAATCCATTCTCCCCACCCCCCAAAATGTTGCAAAGTGAAACATTTGTCAAGTGACTTTTGCCCCATTTTATGACTTATCTTACCACAATTGTTAAGTGAATCACTGCAATTGTTAAGTTAGTTAACACATGGTTCTTAACTGACTTTGCTTATCAGAAGGTGGCAAAAGGAGAATAATGAGCCCTGGGACACAGCAATGGCCATCAATATGAACCAGTTCCCATGCATCTGAATTTTGATCATGTGACCATGGGGGTACGGCAATGGTCATTATGTATGAAAATCGGTCATAAGTCACTATTTTCAATACCTGTTGTAACTTCAGTCACTAAGTGAACTGTTGTAAGTTGAGGACTACCTGTATTCCAGGAAAAAATGGCAATAATTAACCACTGCAAGACAGAAAGAGGGTTTGTTGATTATAATATCCTTGCAGCAATTTCATGAAAGTAAAGCAACTCAGATGCTACAAGTAAAGAAACTTGTCAGATTAATTAGGAACACTAGAAATTATTACTTAGACCTCAGGAGCTTGGTCTAATGCAGGGCTGTCAAACTCAAGGCCCATGGGCTGGATGCGTTACGCGCCGGCCACGCCCACGCCAGGTTTAGCGAAAGGGGAAAAAGTTGCAATATGTCACATGACTGCTGTGATGCCGCAAGTTTGACACTCCTGGTCTAATGGAATGAATGCTAGGACTTTTCTAATTGTCATTGCTTTTTGGGGGGAAGGGGGACAGACTAATGCTGAATGTCTATGAACCCACAGAGATAACTATTCATTAAACTTTCTGAGCCCCTCACATACGAAACAGCTTTTATAGAATTTTCCTGCCCTAACAAAAGCTAGAAGCTTTAAAGACGTAAGGGTAGCATTCTGATGGATTTACAAAAAATATTCTATATTATAAGATAGTTTCTGCTCATTTAAAACATACTGTACATTTACTCCGAATAATACTCAGCTGAAAGTACAATCTCTTCCCCCCACCTAAGAAATCCTAAAAATATCCTAAATTTAATTGAGGATAAAAATGTATCATTAAGTGCATCATTTGCATGACTTGCTGACCACAAGTTCTATTAGCGCTGCTGGCTTTCCTTATAACCTCCAAATTAAGAGGCTGAGGGCAGCCCTTCCCAACCTGGGCTCTCCAGATGTAAAAAATTAAAACTCACTCCAATGATATTCTTTCCCTAACCTACCCAGAAAATATCAGCTCAGAGCAGTCTGCCTTCAGATTTTGTCAATTTGAAGGAGGAAGGAAAACAGCCAGCTAGAACAAAACACTTGAAAGAAATAAGTTCCTTTCTTTAAAGATGTCAGTTATAGTCAAAAACATTCATCTGTTAATGTGCAAATATTTGAATGATAGAAAAGGCGGATTATATGAAGCAATTTGCACAAATGCAATCATGCAGCCAGGCAAAGAAGTGATAGAAGATACTAACAGAACTAAAAGATGCTATAACAACATTCTTGCACTAGAATCTCTGAATGCTTTCCCATGTTTTCATATGAGATTTTTTCTCCAGAATCGGTAGCATTTACTCAATCTAGAAGTCTGGGGAATCCAGAGAATGTTAGTGCCATAATATTCCATTCCAAGGCTCTGGCTTTATTATTTCCCTTTCTTAGAGACAAGGTATAAGTCTATAAGGATTCATCCAATCTTACAGGACACTAGCAAAATATGGTTGCCATGCCTGGCATACAGCAGCTGGCTCCTGCATTTTTAACTGCCCGTCCACTATTCCTGGCTTTTATCCATGAAGCCATCTCGAACAAAATTAGAGCTTCAGCAACTACTTGTCAAAGAAAGCAAAAAGAAAACTGAGTTCTTTCCTCATCTCAGCTAATAGACAGTGCCACACTGGAAATTTAATTTCCATGGGTTTATGTTAATTCTTCTAACCTCTGAAGCTACTCTTTTTGTCACTAAAGCCAATGAAGCATCTATAAATAAAACAAATACACAGTATTTTTTGCTTGAAACTGTTAATGTTCGCATTTCACTGGCACTAGAGACTGCGGAAGGAGAATTCTTCCTAATTTCCAAGGTGCCATTTTGGAATTTTAAGAGACAAGACACATAAGGAGACAAGAGGATGAAAGAATGCTGGTTCTGGAAATAAATTATTTTTTAAAATAGCATCAATCAACACTGCCATCTACAAAGGCGCACCTGTCAGATTGATGGCAGGAACAAAGCAGTTGTGCAGTACAGGCTGTCTTTGAAATACAATAATTCATTTAGCGACCGTTCAAAGTTACAACTCCGTTGAAAAAAAAATGACCGGTCCTCGCACTTATGAGGACCATTGCAGCATCCGTGTGGTAACATGATTGTGATTCAGATGCTTGCCAGTGGCACTATTTATGATGGTTGCATGAAAGATAATAGCCATTAAAGCTCTGAATAATCTGGGATCAAATTATTTTCTAGGCTATTTTCTAGGCACTAAGCCCCTGGTGACTGTTCTCTGGTACACCGTTTTTAAGATTAGAGCAATGGGCATGAAAGAGAAGGTTTTCTTGAGTCGATTCCATAGCTGGGGAAGTGAAAGATGATGATCACAAATTGCCTGGGACTAAAACAAGGGTTTTTTCCCTTTTTTTAAAAAAAAAGATGCTTCAGTTATTATACTTTTGCTAAGGAAACTGCCTTGGACTCTGTTTCTATATTGCTCCGAATAACTCATAAATCCTAACAAACAAGAGAGACACTCTGTTCCACAGCTTAAGGAAAATAGCATTGGTTTTTCCCAGATGCAGAGTTTACTCCCAGCCCAACAGCCCCAAGAACAGAAATCTCATTGCTTGAAGTTCGGACGTAGGGGTGTGGGAATCTTTTTCTAAATAAGCCACTGAGCATTGGAAAAGAAAAAAATAACTGAAGATCCAAGGAGGATACTTCCAACCATGTGAATCGGGGCCAGCTGACTAGAAAATCAAAGGCTCCTTCCCAATACAGTGGTCAGACCAATCCCCAGCCAACCACTTTCAAAGCCCCTTTCTTGTGGAAAGCTGGGTTCAGTGAATCAAGGAAGAGAGAACAGAAAGGACGGTGCGTGCTTCTGCTGGGTTGATAGCCTAATTCATTGCTTTGAAACACGTAACTTCTCAAGAAAGATGGAGAAGAAGGGATCCCTATGAGGGATGGAACTCAGTCAGATCTGCTCCTCAAGCTTAATATGGAGCCTCTGTGTTATGGGGTGAGGGAGCAGAACCACCAACAACCTCAGGCAACACAGTTAAGGACACTGGTTGACAGGAGTGGTAGCCCCAAACAGCACAAGAATTCCAGAATGAATATGAGAGGTTTGGGAGTTTAGCCTATACAGGTAGTCCTTCACTTAGGAAAGTTCGCTTAGCGATTGTTCAAAGTTACACTGAAAAAAGTGACGTGACTGTTTTTTTCACAGTTACGACCTCTCCAGCATCCCTGTGATTGTGTAATCAAAATTCAGATGCTTGGCACATTTATGACCATTGCCGTGTCCCAAGATCCTGTGATCTCCTTTTGGAATCTTCTGACAAGCAAAGTCAACGCGGAAGCCAGATTCACTTAATAACCGGGTTACTAACTGATCAGTGATTCGCTTAACAAATGTGGCAAGAGAAGTCATAAAATGGAGCAAAAATCACAAAAAAAATGTCTCACTTAGCAACAGAAATTTTGGGCTCAACTGCAGTCGTAACTTGGAAGACTGCCTACACAACTGCTATAGGATCATTAAAGATCATTGTAATTAGTCTTTTTCAACCCAGAGTCCTTCAATTGTGTTGGACTCCACCATCCACACACTATTCATGATTAGGCAGACTAAGATGAGACCTGAAATTTAGCATAGACAAAATATTTTAGATCTAGGCAGTTTAGCATAAGCCTTTGCCACCAAACACCAGCAGTTGCCACTCTTCCTTCTATTATCTTTCTGTATCTTTTTTTTATTTAGGAGCATCTGTGCCATTTAAGGTGATTTAGTGCCATTTAAAGTGATTTAGTTGTGGTAGGTACAACTGCCTGTGCATTGGACTGTTTCTTTGCATTTTTATCTTCCAAAATGGAAATTACCAGTCCAGGAATTTTAAGTTCTTTTGCCCACTGCTCCTCTATTGATATTTTTAATTTTTAGAAGATTATTCACATAAACTTTTCTTAGCCCTGTTTTCCTGCTGAAGTCTGAATCTATGGGCATAGCCCAGCAGCAGCCAGCCAGCCAGGCATCACTTGGTGGCATAGCTCATTTTCAGTTACTGATAAGGAAGGAAAGTTCATTTACTCCACAGGTTGCCTGTTTTCAGTCTACACCTGCTTCCGTGCAACTGAAGTCACAACCAATATCAGCCTCTGAGAATGCACCCCCATGTTAGTTAGGTAAGGTGCCATAGGTTGCTGGTCCTTTTGCCACAGACCAGTACCAGTACATTAGAGCAGGGGTCTCCAACCATGGCAACTTTAAGCCTGGTGGACTTCAACTCCCAGAATTCCCAGCTTTGCTGGCTGGGGAATTCTGGGAGTTGAAGTCCACCAGGCTTAAAGTTGCTAAGGTTGGAGACCCCTGCACTAGAGCACAGGGGATGGTTGCAGGACCTAAAATTTCTAGGCATAAACCAAAGCCAATAAAAGAGGGACAAGACAAGTAATGGCAGATCCAGCCTCCACTTGCATTAACCAAGATCAAAACTGATCCCTCCCTTTCCCAGAGTGCGTTTCTGTCCACCACAAGCTAGTGGATACTTGCATTTCAGAAGTGAAAAACCACACACACACACACACACACACACTTCAGGGATCCTCCCATGAATTTAATGGCTGGGATCCTCTTAAAGCCGCTTCTGCCACTACTGTCAGATGAACTGGGATTGTTACTCAGGGGGTTAGGAATATCAGCTAGATGCAGCCCAGGGGCACCAGGTTGAGGAAGACTGCCTTACAGGATAGGTTCTTCCACAGGAGAGGATGATGCGCTAGCAAAAGGAAATAGTCCCCATCACCCTCTTGGCAATGAATATGGTATTCATTTTAAGCAAAAAGTATGACAAGTAGCTCCAAGGTTGCTTAATACTGGAGCTACGTTTAAATAAATAAAACTCTTATTCAAATATATTAAATAAATAAATCTCAATCTCTTTTTAAGAAGAGATTGGACGGCCATTTGTCCCAAAATGGTGTGGGGACTCCTGCTTGGGCAGGGGGTTGGACTAGAAGACCTCCAAGGTTCAAATGTTATTCTGAATTCTTTAAATAAATAATGCCCTCCCAACTAAAATATCCCTGTTTGTCTGTACAGAGAACGCATTGCCTTTCATCTTCTACATCCAGGAGAATTTCGTATTGGGCAAGGGAGGAAGCCTCCCAAAAGTAATTCCACTCAGTTTCAAAATGTCAAGAACTCCATTTCTTCTTGTTCAGAGCAGAACCTCGACATTAATGCGAAGAGAAACCAGGAGAACCCGAGAAGCTTCTAGTCCTCAAGAAACATGAACTTCAGCGCTGAGTCTGGTCTGAGGGAGTTCTAGTTCCTTTCTGAACGCAAGGAGTATACATAAAAGACTGGGAAGATAAAAGCGAGAACTTTTAAAAGTTCAGCCGCCCAATTATACCTTTAAAAAAAAAAACCGCGGAAATTCCTCACGCGGCCGGTCGTAAAACCGCTGCGATTCCCATTTCTTTTATAAAGTAAGTATAAAGTAAGATCACAGAGAAATAAAATTGGGGGCGGCAGGATATGGAGCGAGCATACAGTTAGAGTTGGAATACAACAGCCCAGCGCACCATATTTTATCTCTGCAATGCAAACCCCAATTCCTTATTCAGCAGCAAACCCCCAAACCCGGCTGCGTTCAACAAGAGCTTCCTTTGGAGTAAGAGCGCTCCTTATTCCAAGCTGGAGCCATTTCCTCACTAGCAACCATCGACGGGCCGTATAACAGTAATAACAGAGCTGTTGCAATTGGCCTTCAGACTTCTTTTGCTTAAGCACAAAAACTATTATTTTTCCAGTGTTTTTTCCCCCGCGCCATTAAATCATACCGCTTGCTAATCTCACCGCAGCAAGTCCCCCCCCCCCCCCCCCACTCTCCGGAGGTTACCAAAACCGGCCCATCGTGGGTTTGCAAGCCCACGGCCCCACCCCTCCCCACCTGCAACGGGCTCCATCTCCGTCTGGTTCTTGCCGCCGCCTTTCTTGGGTTGCGGGGCCAAGCAGACGCCCTTCCCGCGCAGCAGGGCTTGCAAAGGCGTGCGCTCGCCTGGCCGAGGGACGCAGCGCAGCCCGGGCCCGCAGCTGGACGTGTAGACGCCACAGGATTCGCCCTCCTCCCGGACTCCACAGGCTTTCTCGTCGTCGCAAGTCGCTTTACGGTCGCTCTCACGGGAATCGCAACCGGCCGGAGAAGAAGAAGAAGGAGGAGGAGGGCAAGCGGCCTCTATGTCGCCGTCGGGCTCCGACGCAGCAGCAGCAGCAGCCGCCGCCACGGCCGCCCCGCATCCCGTCGTCGGGGCCAGCAAAAGCAGGAGCGCCGTCCCCAGGCAGCGAGCGAGGAGCATCGTGCACCGACCGGGCTGAGCACTCGGAAACAGCGCGCTGCAGCCGAGCGCGTCTTAAATGCCGCGTCCTGCCCACGGCTCGCCGGGCCTCCTTCCGCGCCAGGTGTAGCCAGCCCGGTTGGACGGCCGCCAGCCGGCAGGGTGTGGCTGCGGGCTGCCAAAAAGCCCGACCGGCGTTTCTTCGCCGCGGTTCCCCTCTACTCCTCGGAAAGCGAGCGACCCGACCAATTCCGGCAAGGAGACCCACTCCCCACGGAGTCCAAAAGCTGAAGTTGTTTTTTTTTTTTTTCCTGTGGAGGCGGGCGGGGTTGGGGGCTGCACCGGACGAAGAACTGCCTTCTTGTCGTGTAACGTTCGTTCCTTGAGTGTAGGATTTTGTGGAAAAAACACACCCCCCCGGGCTTACTTCGGGGTGACCCGTTGAAAGCAAGGCAGGGGTACCCGAAAGAACGCCGATGTAAGAACCGAGACCCCCGATTCAAAACCCCTGCCCGATCGTCCCTACCTCCCGGAGTTGTGGCCTGTGTGTGGCGGTGGTGGGGGAAGTGATTGTGATGCTCTTGTCTCCCCAAGCGTGCTTTTTGAAACCGAGAGACGACCCCCCCCCCCGCTTCCTCAAACTTGTTGGTAACTGTGATCTTAATTGATCATAGATAATGATTCTATATTGTGGCTTATTCATCCTCGTTGCAAGGCAATAACAAAGAACACAATCTGCAGTGCGGTGAGTTTTTATTGATAAGTAAATTAGGGTTAAAGCTCCCCCCCCCCCCCAAAAAAAAGACCAGGTATGGAGAAATTTATTTCAATTGTTTTCTTTGAATCGCAGAGTATTTTAAGAGCTGCTATCCCATTTCAGTTTCTCTGGCTGCACTGAAAGATATCCAGAGCCTCAAATCCTATATACAGTGCTTCACCAGTTGGATTTCTTCCTGACACAAAACTTAAAACATTTTTTTGGGGGGAGGGAAGAGCCAGAGGGAGAAGCCTCACCCTGAGCCCTATGTGCTTGTTTGTGGTTTTAGGTAAAATTAGTGGGAATAAATTGCTGACACTTTAGCTCCTCTCTCCTTGCAACCAAAGGAACTCATTTTTAAAAACCTCCAAAATCTCCTTGCTTCTCTACCTTTTATAGCAGCCTGACTCTTTCCTTGTAAGGTGATGACACAACTCTTTTCCTGCATTCAGGCATTTGTGAAAAAGACACGTAGAAAGCCAGGTTTATCAAAATGGCAACTGAATTCTGAGAAAGTGTGCAAAAGATGCTAAGGCTCTCATCAATAGCACTTTGATAGCAAACAGTTCTAAATTCAGTGGGACTTGTGACAACCTATTACAATTTAGTATTGCCATCCCATTAATCTTTTCACACAGATCCTAGGTTTATGATTGCTGGACATGAATGGCATCACTATTAATTAAAATCAATTCCACTCTTCCCTGACCTGTTAATGTAGCTGTTTTTGGCAGAAAGAGGGACATTCTTTGCCATTTCCATGATATTTTTCGGACTTCCCAGTCTAGTCTCCAGCCCTGGAATTTCCTGATAGTTTTCCACCAGGTCTGACTTGCTTAATTTTACAAGATCAGCCAAGATCAGTTAGTTGCTGCCTTTCAGACTTTCATTTTTTAGGCAAGTGACAAAGTGCCAGTGCCAGTGCCAGACCCTAGCAAAATATTTGCATGTCAACCCTAGAAAAATGGAGGTGGGGGTGGGGGGAGTGCTGCAGGCCAATGCTTTCTTTGGAAGAGTGCCTAGTTGGCCAAGGAATAACCACAAAAGTAAGTTTAGGTGATAGCATCCTACAAGGTTGAGGTGTGTCATTCAAGTGGTTTCTCCCACCTCCACCGCCTTCATCTTCTGGTAAACTGGACATTTTATGATGGGCCATGCTCACCATTGCAACCTCTTTGTGAACAAGCTTGCCATGAACACATTTTTGCAACAAGGGCAGCCTCGTGTTGTCGAAGTTCCCTTTCTTCCCACCCACTGGCTCAAAAGTAAGGTCTACATCCATGTTCTAATCATATTGTTAGCTTCCTTCAAAAGTCGGGGGCTGCAAACCAGGAGTCCATCATCTCTGTCCATTCCAGGGGGCTGCCAAGCAAGCATACAAGTCTTGTAAAGTCACTTTTCAAAACCAACCCAAGTGATGATATGATTATTATTCTTTAAAAAAAAAAAGAAACCCACGGGCCAAGAAGGGAAATAATGGGGCAATTGGATTACACAACGGAGTTTTAACCATTCCAAACATTTTGCCTGGATCGAAAACGAAGACTAGGAAAGGGGGGGGCAGAGAGAAATGAAGACAGCCCATTTCCAAGTCCCAAGGAACAGCGGGAAGAAAACAAACAGGCCTTGGCCAGGAAATCGTTGGCTGATTGTGCAGTCTTTTTGTTTGTTTATAAATGAAACAGTTCTGAAAAATATTCCCAGGGAGTTAGATTAACTCAAAGGGAAGGGAGTAGAGAACAGTTGTTAAAACCAAGCTTGGACTACTTTACAGGGTTGTAATGAGGATAGAATTAGGCTATCGGATCTGACCTGCAAGTCCTCAGCCATCCATGAGAGGGCAGGTAAAATGAGATGACTTCCAATCCCCTTTTCTATATTTTTCAGCCTCCTGGGAGAAAGGCAAAGCAAACTACTTTTAATTAGCTGCTGAGGAGGCCATACATTGTCCAAAACCTAAATTTGTTTACACATGCTTTATTCAATAAAGTGCAAATGGCTAGGTTTATACAACACACTTAAGTTACAAACTAGAGCTTCCAAACCACATTGGCTGGATCTGTGCACAACTTATTAAGCCAAAACAAACCACGCTGGGGCTTATTATTTGGGCCTGGTCCTTGAAATGGTTGGCATAATCAGATGTGTTATTATACAAACCAATTTGATAACTAGGCTGACTTCTTTGGTGGCACAGGGAGTTTTGTGAACCAAAACAAATTGGGGCAGTGTGTAGTTGCACATTACACATTAGGTTAGCTCGGTCAACTAATTCACTTTGCAGTTTAGTTCCTGTATAAAAGGAGGGGAGCTTGTGGAGGGAGGCAAATGTTACCTCTTGCATCCCATTTACTACCCTGGAGCTGTATTAAAGTAGGGAGGGCTGAAGATTTGGGATTTCTGATAAATTCTTGTAGAGGTTAACCTGTGGGAAGGGAAAGGGAGGCATTAAGTTTGCAGTGGTTACAAGTCTCACAGTTCCTTAAAAATTCCAAGCATCGGAAAAACTGATTTCCCATAGATTTTTCCAAGATAAGAATAAAAAATAAGTACAGGTAGTCCTCAACTTACGATCACAATTCAGCCCAAAATATATGTTAAGTGACAAATTTGTTCAAATGAGTTTTGCCCAGTTTTACATTACTTGCCACGTCTTTTAAGTGAATCCCTGCAGTTGTTTAAATTAGTAACAATTGTTAAGTGAATCTGGCTTCCCCCATTGACTTTGCTTGTCAGAAGGACACAAAAGGGGATTCACATGACCCCAGGACATTGCAACCGTCATAAATATATGTCTGTTGCCAGCCATCTGTATTTTGATCACATGACCATAGGGATGCTGTAACGGTCATGTGAAAAATGGTTGTAACTCACTTTTTTCAGTGTCATAACTTCGAATGGTCACTAAATGAACTGTTGTAAGTCGAGGACCATCTGTACTCGATGTATGACAATCAGGACTGGAACTTCTGTAGCTAAGTGAGGGAGCTGTTAAGTGAGACACACCCAAATTTGACAACTTTTTTGCTGTGGCTGCTAAGTGAATCACAGTTGTTAAGCAAATCCAGCTTCCACTATAGACTTTGCTTATTGGAAACCAGCTGGGAAAGTCATAAATTGGCAATCACATGACCCAGGACATGGCCCCCATTATAAATAGATGGCAGTTGCCAAGGTAGTCAAATTTTGATTACCTGACCGCTGGGACATTGGGACAGTCACAAGCAGAAGGACTAGTCGCATGTGATTTTTTTTTCAGCACTGTTATAACTTTGAATAAACGGTTGTAAGTTTAGGACTACCGGTACCAACCATCTGCAAGGCCTTTCCTCCACCAGGAAAAAAAGAGCCAAAATGCCCCGCCTCGCCACATCCTCTAAAACAGGGGTCTCCAACCTGCTGGCTGAGGAATTCTGGGAGTTGAAGTCCACAAGTCCCAAAGCTGCCAAGGTTGGAGATCCCGGCTCTAAAACTCCTAGCCAAGATCTGAAAGTAAAATGCAGGTAAATGCCCAGGCTGGAGGTTACCTGCCTCTTCTGAACAAAAATGTAGGACACAGCCATGCAGTTCAATGTCCTCTTCTACATCTTGACGTGAGGTTAACAGCTTTACCTGGGCACATTGACTGCTTAAGCCACATTAAATCTGGGTTTCCTAGACCACTATGCTACAACTGCAAGAGAAAATAAGAGAATGGTGCCCTCGAGCATGTGCAAAGCATGTTCAGCACTCAGAAAGTTGGCCAGCTGCCTAGCCGGCTTCTGTGATTTAACCAACCCTTTGATCTGTAGACCTCCCCACCCCTCCGCCAGGTGAGACGAAACTCTACAAAATGGAGAGAACTCTCCTTTTTTTCTCTATGCTGTATCTGTAGTTCAGGATATTGGGATTTTCCAAAAGTTGGCAATAGCAATAGCACTTAAGATTTACGTACTGTTTCATAGTGCTTTAAAAGCCTCTCTAAGCGGTTTACAATGTCAGCATATTGCCCCCAGCAATCTGACTCATTTTACCGACCTCAGAAAGGATGGAAGGCTGAGTCAACCCTGATAATCAGTAAATTCTAACTTCAGAGAGATGGGATGCAACAGATAAGCTCTAACATGGGCATGTACATTCACTAGAAAAAAATACACCCAGTGGCTTGTTCCCGAGCTATTGGCAGAGATTTCTGGCTTCCCAGAAATCACAGGATGAAGCTGACTGAAGACACAATGGCGCAGATCAAGACACAAATCCTGAGGCTAACTCAGAAATGACTGAATTGAAATATGAAATGGAAACTTATTTAAAGATGAGTGAAATGGATAATGATATGATATGTAAGATTGGTGGAAATGAAAGTATGGTTATGTACAAGTGTTATAATCTGGAACCACGTTGCCCACGTAAAGAGATGTGTAAAAATTAAAAATTTAAAAACTTTTGGGGGAAAAAAGGAATTGTGGAAGGCTAATGAACAATAAATAAATACGTTGCCACATTAAAAAAAAGAAAGAAATGACTAGCCTGTTTCTGGACTGGATCATAGAACATACTGAAGTAAAATG